TTCAACCATGGCAGTGGTGCCTCTACCCCAGAAGGTAAATCCACGTGGTCAAACTGATCCTGCATACTCGTGTAGTCATCTTCATATATAAAATCATCGTTGTCATAAAAGTCATAGTCATCCTCATCCACACCATCCACATCATCATCATCATCATTCATTTCATCATTTTCATCTTGATATGAAAAATCAGAATTGGGACTATTAGCATTATTTGAAGACATGGAACTCTTGGAGACATCACCACTTCCTGATGATTCTCCCACAGTCACGGAATTTCCGTGATCACTTGTAGAAGCATCCTATGAAAAGAAAAGATCAAAATTAAAAACCTTTATAAAGTCAGAAAATCATGTTAAGAAAATAGATAGATTCATCAAAATTCATCACGTAAAATAACATCGTATAGCTTGATATTTCCACTCCTGAAACTGATTTCTATTATTGTTCATTTGTTCCCCTCGATTAAATGAAAATCATAAGCCCTCCCCTGTAAACAGATAACCATGCACGGAAAAAATATTAATAATTTCTCTTGCAAGAAATTCCTAATCCACACCGACTAGCAGAGTTGTGAAGTTTACATGTACAGCTGAGCAACGGCCTGGTGCATGAGACCCAGCGCAGCAATAATGCATTGGTCACTTGTAACGTTCCAAATAAGCTTGCATTGCTCAAACACTTTACTATTCCTAAACCATCGTATTGCCATATCATGATGATTTAGCCACTTGACACTTTTGTAAAGCACTTTTATTACCTTGAAGCGCAAATTAACATTCGTCCTACTAATATACAAGGAAACTAAAGATTCACCACATAATCAAATCTAGAACTAAGCTGACTTAATACTTCAATTGACTGCCCAGTGTCGTTGAATCTTCACCAGAAAAAGGCAATAGCTTGCACAAAATTGATCGCACGAACCAACATCTTTTCAAATCAGCTATTTGCTAATCCTTTTTATCAAAGAGAAAGGGAAGCCTGGGACAGGAGAGGAAAGTGTAGGGCACCACTTGATTCCAGCAGTTTATTCTCTTTTTCAAAAATCTAAGACAAAGCATTAAAAGACCAAACCAACAAAACCCACACAGGCAGGGAAGGACGCATCCCCTGACAACGTTCGGAAAAGCCGTTAACGTTGTTCTTGCTCACAGAAACTTGACAGCAGTAACATTATACATGGCAGCAAGGAGAAATCTAGATTGGCTCCCAATTAACCCAAATCAATCTATTAGTGAAGAAGAAAAGAAACTACATATAAAAAGGGGGGAACATCAACAGTAAGTGAACAACAAACTCCAACCCAATTTTTAAATTAAAAAATAAAGCGCATGCGCACACTCTACGCTGTATAAACGATCACCAATGAACGCTTAAATTGAATGCAAGCGAACCAAAGCCAAAACCGGAAAATGATCGAAATTGACCAATAATGTGTCGGCTGAAGGGCATACTTGAGTACACCCAGTGAGGGAAAATATAATTTGACCCAAATACAGACAAAAACGCTTAAAACCCAAGCTTGGCATGAAATAATTTCGAAAAGAGTACCTCTTCTTGTTTGCGTCTCTTCGCCGTCCCTGATTTTACAGGATTTTCAGGGACGCCGTCACCCATCTCAAGATCCATGAGCAATCGATAAAAACCCACACACACGAGAGCCCGAAGAGCGAGTACGGAGAAAGAAAGAGACGTTCACTCTCCCAAGAAAGAAAACAATATCGAAGCGCGTGGGACAGAAGGGTGGAGGCGAGGGAATTATAGTGATCGAGTCAAGTGTGAGACTCGGAGAAATTGCCAATTAGCGGAAGAGAGAGAAAAGTTCAATTCGCAGCCTAACAGATATTGCAATTGCAAGGGTAATCGGTTTCCTTTCGAAGGAAGACAAAACCCCCCCCCTCGCCCCCCCCCCCAAGGGGAGGGGGATGTTATATCACACGGCAGGATCCACGAAATTACCGATTCGTTTCGGTGTTTCATTGGTGAGCGGAGAACGTAAGTTTATGTACACGTGGAGGGTTGGCAGCCGGGCTCCATGTGTACTCTTTGTGAGCGTTAGCGCACTCGATTATTGCTCCGGAGGAATTTGCTCGTCTCCCAAGTTTTTCTTGGGAGAACCGAGAAAGACTCATAAAAATCATCCGCAAAATAATGTTAATTTCATATTATTATTCTAGATAAACGGTGATTCGGTAACTCTCGATATTCAAAATCATTATAATTATGTAAATAAAGATATTAGCCGTATTCATTAGATTAATTAGGTTTTCTCAGAGTTATTTAATTTGATAAAATTAAATATCAATATTAGCTACATCATCTATCATCCATAGTTTAGATTTAAATTATATTATATTATGATAATATTTGATTTAGATACTTAAAATCATTTGATGAGAAATGTTTGAAAATGTTTAATTAGAAGGGGTTTGTTCCTGCTGGTCAAAATAAAAAAAAAGAAGGGGTTTGTTCCTTATAATTTGATGATAAATTTTTATTGGAAAATGTATTTATATTTAGCTTGTGTTTGTATTGGCATTAAAACCAACAAATGTGTCCTGGGCAGTATGAAAAGTAACTTGGTGGGTGGTTTTAGCATTTACTCTTCTGATCTTATTTATAAGATGTTTTTAGTATGTTTGACATAAACTAATAAAAATTTTAAGCTTTATGAACTCTCATTTAAAATTTAATAACTTTTTAATTTTATTCCCATTTAATATACATTATACATTATATAAATAAAATCAACACAATAATAAATAAGGGATAAAATTGTACATCATGAAAATTTTTTCCCTTAATATCTTATAAATAAGATTAAAAAATATTTTTTTACCTTATAAACAATTAGAAGAATATTCTTGTTTAGGCTAACTTTTTCTCTAATGAGCTTTTGGGAGGGGGGAAAAAAGGTACCGCCAAAGCTAAAAATTTGAGCTTTTTGAGTCTGTACGGTGGATAGAGGAACAAATGAGGATGAAAAGAAAGAGAATGGTATTTACGTGGTTCATACATTGACCCAAAAATTTGATTTTTTTTTCCTTACTAGTAATAATTTTTTTAATACTTACAATTTTTTAAGGAAAATATCTGGGTCAAATTACTTATATTTGTTATGTTAATTCTCCAATCACACATAGCCATGTGTTCTATTTTTTTATGAGTTTATAATTAAATACTATTACATGGAAATATTTTAAAAATAAAGCACATGGTAGATATAAGAAACCTGGTGTGAATATTGTTCTTTTTTTAATAATGTATTAACTCTTTTAATTTTTATTATTTTTATTTTTATTTATTATGTTTCTTAAATTTATCAAATTCTATATAAATGAGATGTGAGATATATGTCATAAAATCCACAGTTTTTTCAGTCATTTTACATGTAGAATTATTTTTTTTTATTACTCATCCCAATATGTTTCAATTCAGCAAACTAACTTTTTATTAAAAAAACTAACCCAAATATAAATTACATTATACTAACTGTCTTTTAAGCTACCTGATTTTTTGTAAAAATCAGACAAAATAAAAATTAGTTTTGTCATTGCTAATCCATACACATTCTTAACAGCCGACAATGTATCAAATAGAAGGATATGTATGTCTTGGAAAAAAAAAAAGGTACAAAACTAAATCACATGACTAGTGCATTCATGAAATAAGAGGAACAGTGCCTTAGTGTAATTCCTCAGTCCTTTTTCAATTAAATGAAACGTGTGATGTTATTACTTGATTTTATCAAATAACTGTGTGTGTATATGTGTGCATATATACATTTTAAAAAAAGATGTTATGTGTTACGTACTTATTATTTTTGACTAATTTTAAACGATATTTTGATTTAAGTGAATTTGTTATTCCTAACTTCGAAAGTGACATGGAACCTAATTCATCTCTTTTCTGTTCAGAGGCAGTACTTCATACTTATGCCTGTTGATTTTTGAACCCTCCTTTAAAGGATACAAGTCAAATTATGATTCTTAATAGATTGTGTTGTCTTCTGATAAACACTCAATATTGCGATTTTCATTTTTGCGGGATCGCCATTGGTCCAAAGCACCTTGTTGAATATCGTGAACCAACGTTTCGCAACTCATCAACCTTTTTTTTTTTTTTAAATGGGAGTCGTGCATGATTGCTACCAAAAGATATTATTCGAAGAAAAAAGAAAGGTGTTAAAAGTAAAAGAGCATAGAAATCAGAAAAGAAGAAAGAAGCCAAGAAACGGGTTGCTTCAATTTGCACATTTTCATTTTTTTAATAGGTCTTATAGGATGATCATTGGTCACAGTGAAACTTGATATTTTTTTTAGCTGCCTGCTTTGCCCAACAAGAGCTCCCCAACCGCCTTTTGTTAGCATTCAGCTACATATCTTTATTTTCAGGTTGTGCACGTCAATACCGAGATGAGATATGTTGGCCAGATATTTCATCTTATTTGCGACTTTAAATTCATATATATATATATATATATATAATTATTATATCACCCATTCAAGTGTTACTCTGACCGATTGAATTATGAATCTATTAAACTATTAACATTTTTAATGGGACGTCCAATTCGGAGTTTTATTTATACATTAGTTCTTCCTCTTCCTCAACCATTGGTTTTCAAAAATTATGACGCCTCATTGTTCATATCCTCCAGCCTGATTCATCATTGCAATCATAACAGTATAAATATGTTTTAAACATATAATATTATATTTGTATGTAATGTTCTTTTTTACTCAAATAAGGTCTACCTTATTTGTAAATTACAAATAAAATCTTATAATTAAGACCGGAAGTATTATTTGATAACAATTATTTTCCCTATAAATGTGGCATAATGGTAGTATTGTGTTGATATGTATGTGATTCATTCATTATATGCCTCATATACAAAGGAACGTAATTTAATCACAAACATTGATAAAGTAATATACATTAACACAATAACATTGCATAATTCATCACTTGTTCCGTCACACCCATGTGCAGGACTAGAGTTTACTGCATACAATTTCAGTATCTAAATCCAAATCTTTCTCTTCAAAGCCTTCTTCTGCTTTGATTAAATCTTTTCTTGTCATCTCAACACTTTGCTCCGTGTTAGCAATATTTTCTTTCACCTTGATCATCTCTGTCTCCAAAACCAGAAGATTTTCTTTCATCTTGTTCATTTCTGTTTCCAGAACCACCAATTCTTGTTTTAACCTTTTCACCTTTGTTGCCTTCTCAAGGTATCCCTTCATACTTAAAGCAGATTTAACTTGAGGTTCCAACCAACTCAAATCTAATCTACTAATCTCAAGTTCATCCCATAATTGTTGAAGCTGCTCACAGGCTTCCTCGTTCATATCTTTCCATTTCTTGTTCTCTAGAAATTGCAGAACTCGACCCAAGCTGGTGAATACCCACTCTGTAAACTTGCGACTCCTCTTATTCTTACAGTCCATCAATGAGGGATGACACAAACAAGCCTCCTCTAGCAGTGGAACCATCGCTTTCTCTATTTGTCCCAAATCCTTGAACTCAGTGGCATCATCATTCTTTGGGACCAATGCTTTCTTAATTTCAGTGCCTTCAGAGATTACTTCAGAAAATTCAAGTTCAACAATACATGTATCATTCAAAATATAGCCGTTAGAAGGGTTCTGAAGCTTAGCCAATTCCATAAAAGATGGATAACCCCAGTCACATTCATTCGCAGTGAACTTGCTGTTTGAGCCTGCATTCAATTCCCTCAAAAACAGAGGAACATCAGTGGAAGACTACCATAAGATTCCCATCCCATTCCAATACAAAATTATAATATACTTTCAATCAGGTTGTTAGGCCTTCACAGTACAGTTTAATATTTTATTTACTTTCTCTTTAGGTTGCAGGAGAAAATCAGCGTCCACCGCCAAAACAAAAGCAGCTTTTAGAAGAAAACACAATGAAGTAGCATGAAATGATACCTCTTTTAACAGATTTTTTAGTGGAAGCTTGATTGACCACCGTGAACCTGTAGATTGCATGTATACTCCAACCTTGATGCAAACTCGATACATCAGCTACTTTCAAATATATAGCCAAATTCTTCCCATCGTTTTTCTTTGTTCCTTTATAGAATGCAATTTTCCTGCAACCATTCTCCCGTCCAGAAAAAAAAAAACAGAGCGATTACATTAAAACATACATATATGAGAAACAAGGAATTTTATTCATAAAATAAAAGATAAGAGATTTTCATGAAAATGAGGGATGAAGGACATGTGTATATGATAGATGTTCACTAATACCAAGCACATCCACCGATATTGAAAACCTCAGAATGGCGCGCTTGATTGGTCTTCAATGTGCTAAAGTTTTTGATCGTCCATGCTACTTTCTTATAGGTTATATCCTTCAGTTCCTGCTTCTTCATCGTGCTATCACCTTGCGATATCTCCATGTTTTATAAAAACCTGAAAGCCGTAAACCCCACAAGACAAAAACTTGAAACTTCGAGTACGAGAACTAGCCGAAAGTGAAGTAAAATTGAAGTGAAACCATAGCAAATTATTTGAAAGGTAGACCACAAAGTGAATGTTGGATTATACGAACATATGACTACCTTATTGATGAAGCTCATAGAAAGCCTGTCTTTCTAGACATTAATTAATTGTAGCAAGAAAAGTAAAATACAAAGACGCATCAAGGGGAATTGGAAATAGAAAAAACAAAAGCATGAAGGAATGTACTGAATAGAGGAAATAAAACTGACTGTTACTATTCTCTAGGATCAGAAATTCCAAATGCAGAGTAGGCATTAGGTAATTCTTTCACCATTCGCAAAGTTCTTTACTGCCTTGCATATCCCAATATTCGGCTATACCCGTCATATATGTATACACTTTCTTTTAATTTTACTTTGAAATTTTGTAAGCTTCTCCAATGTTATCCTAGATGATACCACTTTGGCAACAAGAAATATTGCATCAAACAGCATAGCCTTAGCGAGGAGGACAAAATCTATGGATGGGAAGCCTTTTGAAACAGTTGAATCCTTGATTCATATGATGCTGGTCAAAGGGTGTCTGATTGAAATCGTTTGAGTCAGAATGTTCCTAGAGTCGAGAGACATGCATGCTTTCGTATTCCGGTCTACACCTGAAGAAAAGACTGGCTATGGAAAATACCCTACATAAATGGGGGTTAACAACCGATGATGTCTGTGCATTTTAAAATCAACATGAAGAAAACACATGTACCAAAGTTTGTAATAGCCCATGCCATTTTCTTTTGCATGTTACATCCTCCTGTCCTGATTCTTCATCGGACAACCACCTCGCTATGTCTACTTGTTTACCTAAACACAAACCGAAAAGCAACAACGCAACGGATGAACCAACTAGCGAAAGGAGCAGTGTTCTAAAAGCCTAGCCGGAACAGACAGCCCGGCCGGCCAGAGTTGGGGACGACTCGGATTGAGCCGGAAAATAGCCGCTTTGACTCTGGAATCCGGCACCGATTTTGGAAGACCGGGCTGCTTCCAGATAGTATGTACAGTAGCTCCTCGATATGTGAAAACAGAGAAGATGTAGAAGAAAAGGGACAGAAGATAAAAAAATCCCAACAAATCCATCTTTTTTTTTCCTTCTCAGTAACAATAAAATGTGAGGAAATTCGAAGAAAAACACTCCATATACTCACTAGCGGGAAAGGTCAAGGCTTGAGGTCCTGCACGGTGTGGTTCGTCAATCGAGGGACTCTGAAAGCGTAAAGGGAAAAAAAATGAAACTTGAACTCAGAGAAAGACAAGGCGGAAGCTACATTCATTTCAAAAAAAGAAGAGAAGGGTTAAAAGAAGAGGAAGATGGAAATTTAAATTGAAAAAAAAAACAGAGAGAGAATAAAGTAAGATGCAAATAAACTGAAAGAATCCGCATCACCCCTGATGAAGCCAAAAAGATCAGAGCTTGAAGGTCGCTGAAACTGGAGTTAAAGCGGAATAGCACTGATGGAGGCAAGATATTGCATGAGGAGTCTCATCCAACAGACAAGAGAGAAAGTCGTCTTGACTCTTGAGATATGAAGAAATATGCCCCTGAAAAGGATCCGCACGCTGGGAGTCCAAAGGCAGATCATAGTCAAATATCCTTCGAGCCTCCGCGTTTTTCATTACAACCTCTCCAATAATTGTTGACTATTCAATATTCATTATTCATTATTATAAGAAAAGGTCTGTCATATGATAACAAATAAAAAAAAAATACCCTTTCTTATAAAAAAAAAATTCCGACATCTCATTTTTTAAAGAATTTAAAAGAAACTTTTTACTAATTAAAATTTATTTTCTCAACAATATTTTATTATTATGATCATAACTTTTTTTCACATGACTTTTTTTTTTGAGTAGATTTATGTTTGATAATATAAAAATATTTTGGACAAAGCCGCACCAAAAAAATATAATGAAGAAGGATACAAGGAAACTAAACATAGAAAGCATAAATGAGCAGCATACCACTGGATACTAGGTAGAATGTTGTCATTATGGAGGATCTCTCGAACTCCCAATCCCAGTAATACAATGTTTCTCTCAGTTAATGACTTGCATGCCCAGAAGATAGAGAAAAACTCACGTGCCTTATTTGATGATTTTTTTTTTCTCAACTCCTAACAAATGATTTTACCAAACACAACCGCAGATAGTGAAAAACGTCAGAACGGTGTTGGAGATTGGCGTTCAATGTTTTAAATTTTTCGATGGCCCAGGTCCTTCCACCCTGATTCACTTCATCGTACTATCACCTTATGATTTGTATGAATTATAAAAACCTGAAAGTCGTTGAATGATGCACAACACAAAATTTAACTGGAAAGTTTGAACATAAGAAGCAGCAAATAATTACGATAGGAAAATTAATTGAAACCATAACAGCTAGCTTGTTTGAAAGTTAACCACAGTGAATGAGGATTTACACAAATGTAACTTCCTTATTGATGAAGCTCACAGCCTTCAGGCACAGAAAGCCTGATCTTTCAAAGACGCATGAACCTTTATACGAAAGTAACTCCCTCATTGATTCATAGGATGTCTGTCAAAGTTTGTCCCATGGAAACTTGCATGGGTCAGTCAGATCAGAATATATGTCTGCAAAAAAAAAAAGGGTTGGCCCATGAATAAAGACCCGTTTTTGTTGGATAGAAAGTCATGCTATAATACACATTATATATAGAGCTCGGGTTTCCCATAACCAATTTCAGTATTCAAGTCTTTCTCCTGAAAGCCGAAGCCTAATTGTTCTTTGATTAAATTTGCCCTTGTCATTTCAAAGGCTTGCTCTGTTTCAGCAAGATTTTCTTTCATTGCGTTAATTTCCCTTTCCAAGATCAGCAAGTCTTGTTTTAGCTGTTTCACCTTTGTTGCCTTCTCCAGATATTGTTTCATATTCAAAGCAGATTTAACATGAGGTTCCAGCCAACTCAAATCCAATCTGCTCATCTCAAGTTCATCCCACAAAGTTTGAAGTTGTTCGCAGGCTTCTTCATTCATATCTTTCCACTTGTGGTTTTTTAGAAAATGTAGAACTCGCCCCCAATGCAGTAAATGCCCACTCTGTAAAGCGACGACTTCTTCTCTTCTTACAATCCATTAATGAAGGATACCACGAACAAACTTCTTCTAAGAATGGCACCAAGGCCTCTCAATTTGCCCCAGATCCTTAAAATCAACACTAAGGGCCTCATCATCCGTCGGATTTGCAAGGGGACTTGGCTGAACACTTTCGGACTTAAGTTCCAAAAAATTCAACTTCAACTGTCAAATAATCATTCAGAATATAGCCGCTGGATGGGTCTTGAAGCTCTGTCAAATCCATGAAAGATCGAAAACCCCTAACGTGTTCGTGTGCACGGAACTTATGCCTCAAACCCTGCATTCCATTCGCCAGAAACAAAGGAACATCATTGAAAGACTGCTGTAAGATGGGTCTGTCCCATACCAATTTAAAATTTCAATTCACACATTTTTTTTGGCGTTGGTAATCTAATAGTTTATGCACTCGATCAATGAGTTGAGGAGAAATCAGCTGTTTAGGGAAGAACTAGCCCATTAAGTTAAGCAAGGGGGGGAAATACCTTAAAATGACACCAGCAGAGGGAAAGCAATTTTAGTCAAAGAAATAAAAAATGAAGACGTGCGCATGGAATGATATACCTTTTGCATAAGATTTTTGGCTGGAATTTGATTGATCACCATGATGGTGAGGTATGCATCTATGCTCCAACCTTGAGGCAGAGTACTAGTATCTGCTACACACAAAAAATATACCAAGATACTTCTCGTCTTCCAGTCCTCGGTAGATTGCAACCTAAACCTCCTCCTGCAACAATCACCACAAAAGAAAATTATATTAATATGCTAAAATTCATGTATCTCGTTCTCTGCCCATTTATGCAATTTTTTTCCTACTAGTTTAGCCATCGACGAATTTACATGATTTAAAAAAAAAAAAAAAACTATTTTCTACCGAATATATAGATATGGAATCGTCATATGGAACTGAACAGATATATATATATATATATACACACATATGATATACTAGAGGAAACGAAACGGGTGGGGAATGGTAATGTAGTATGATAAAGAAGAGCTTTAATTGGAAATATTAAAATAGACGTTGATAAGTACCAAGAACAATGGCCAGCGGTGAAAGGATCAGAATAATGTGGGGCATTGGTCTTCAGTGAACTGAAATTTCCAATAGTCCATGCTATTTTCTTGCTTGTTACCAGTATATCTGTCGGTTCCATTGTGCAATCAACTTGCTCTGTCTATATGTTCACCAAACACAATCAAAACCCAAAACCAAGAACACAACTGGGTGGGTCAAGTGTAAAACGGTTGAAGCAACCAGTGAAAGGACTAATGAAGAAGAGAAAAGACAGAAGATAAAAATCCCAACAGATTCCATCACTCTTTCCTTCAAGAACAAAAAAACTTTGCAGACATTTGGAGGAAAACACTTCAAGTACTCACTAGCAAAGAAGGTGAAGGTTTTTGAAACAGTTGAATACTTGATTCATATGATGCCCGTCAAAGGTTGTCTGATTGAAACTCGCTTGTGAGTCAGAATGTTCCTAGGGTCGAGAGACATGCATGCTTTCGAATTCTGGTCTATACCTGAAGAAAAGATTGGCTATGAAAAATACCCTACATAAATGGTGGTTAACAACCGATGATGTCTGTGCATTTTAAAATCAACATGAAGAAAACGCATGTACCAAAGTTTCTAATAGCCCATGCCATTTTCGTTTGCATGTTACATCCTCCTGTCCTGATTCTTCAGCGGACAACCACCTCGCTATGTCTACTTGTTTACCTAAACACAAACCGAAAAGCAACAACGCAACGGATGAACCAACTAGCGAAAGGAGCAGTGTTCTAAAAGCCTAGCCGGAACAGACGGCCCGGCCGGCCAGACTTGGGGACGACTCGGATTGAGCCGGAAAATAGCTGCTTTGAATCTGGAATCCGGCACCGATTTTGGAAGACCGGGCGCTTCCAGACAGTATGTACAGTAACTCCTCAATATGTGAAAACAGAGAAGATGTAGAAGAAAAGGGACAGAAGATAAAAAAAATCCCAACAAATCCATCTTTTTTTTCTTCTCAATAACAATAAAATGTGCAGAAAATTCGACGAAAAACACTCCATATACTCACTAGCGGGAAAGGTCAAGGCTTGAGGTCCTGCACGGTGTGGTTCGTCAATCGAGGGACTCTGAAAGCGTAAAGGGCAAAAAAAGAAATGAAACTTGAACTCAGAGAAAGAGAAGGCGGAAGCCACCATTTTCGAAAAAAGAAGAGAAGAGTTAAAAGAAGAGGAAGATGGAAATTTAAATGAAAAACAAAAAACAGAGAGAAAATAAAGAAAGATGCAAAATGCAAATAAACTGAAAAGAAGCCGCATCAACCTGATGAAGCCAAAAAGATCAGAGCTTGAAGGTCGCTGAAACTGGAGTTAAAGGGAAATAGCACTGATGCAGGCAAGATAATGCACAAGGAGTTTCATCCAACAGACAGGAGAGGAAGTCGTCTTGACTCTTGAGATATGAAGAAATATGCCCCTGAAAAAGACACGCACCCCGGGAGTCCAAAGGCAGATCACAGTCAAATATCGAGCTTCGAGCCTCCGCGTTTTTCATTACAACTTCTACAATAATTGCTGACTTCAATATTCATTATTCACCATTCATCATCCGTGGTTTTTTTAAAATTATAAATTAACTGAATTAAAATTTTATATTTTTAAGAAAAGATCTGTCATAATGATAACAAAATAAAAAAATACCATTTCTTTTCAAAAATTCCGACATCTCATTTTTTAAAGCAATTTAAAAAACTTTTACTGATTAAAATTTATTTTTGTCAACAATATTTTATTATTATGATCATAACTTTTTTTTCACATGACGTTTTTTTTGGGTAAATTTGTTTGATAATATAAAATTTTGGAGAAAGCCGCACCAAAAAAAATATAATGAAGAAGGATACAAGGAAACTAAACACGGAAAGCATAAATGAGCAGTTGACCACTAGAGACTAGTACAGTGTTATCATGCTGGAGGATCTCAAGCTCCCAATGCAGAGCATAATTTCTTCAGTTAATGACTTGCATGCCCAGAAGATAGAGAAAAACTCACGTGCCTTATTGGATAATTTTCTTTCTCAAGTCCTAATAAATAATTTTGCCAAACACAACCGCAGATAGTGAAAAACGTCAGAACAACGTTGTTGGAGAATCCCTGGTGGTCCTTCGACACCTGATTCACGTCATTGTACTATCACCTTATGATATTTGTATGAATTATAGAAACCTGAAAGTCGTTGAATGATGCACAACACAAAATTTAACAGGAAAGTTTGAATATAAGAAGCGGCAAATAATTACGATAGGAGAATTAAATTGAAACCATAGCAGCTTGTTGAAAGTTAACCACGGAGTGAATGAGGGTTTACACGAATGTAACTCCCTTACTGATGAAGCTCACAGCCTTCAGGCACAGAGAGCCTGATCTTTCAAAGACGCATGAACCTAAAGTAACTCCCTCATTGATTCATAGGATGTTTGTCAACGTTGTCCCATGAAAACTTGCATGGGTCAGTCAGAATATATCTCCGGAAAAAAAAAAAAAGGGTTGGCCCATGAATAAAGAACCGTTTTTGTTGGATTAGAAAGTCATGCTATAAGACATATTATATATAAAGTTAGGGTTTCCCATAACCAATTTCAGTATTCGAGTCCTTCTCCAGAAAGCCGAAGCCTAATTGTTCTTTGACTAAAATTGTCCTTGTCATTTCAAAAGCTTGCTCTGTTTTAGCAAGATTTTCTTTCATTGTGCTAATTTCCCTTTCCAAGATCAGCAACTCTTGTTTTAGTCGTTTCACCTTTGTTGCCTTCTCCAGACATTGTTTCATATTCAAAGCAGATTTAACATGAGGTTCCAGCCAACTCAAATCCAATATGCTCATCTCAAGTTCATCCCACAAAGTTTGAAGTTGTTCATGGGCTCCCTCATTCATATCTTTCCACTTGTGGTTTTTTAGAAAATGTAGAACTCGCCCCAGTGCAGTAAATGCCCACTCTGTAAAGCGGCGACGACTTCTCTTCTTACAATCCATTAATGAAGGATACCACGAACAAACTTATTCTAAGAATGGCACCAAGGCCTCTCAATTTGCGCCAGATCCTTAAAATCAACACTAAGGGCCTCATCATCCGTCGGATTTGCGAGGAGACTTGGCTGAACACTTTCGGACTTAAGTTCCAAAAATTCAACTTCAACTGTCAAATAATCATTCAGAATATAGCCGCTGGATGGGTCTTGAAGCTCTGTCAAATCCATGAAAGATCGAAAACCCCTAACGCGTTCGCTTGCACGGAACTTATGTCTCAAACCTGCATTCCATTAGCCAGAAACAAAGGAACATCATTGAAAGACCGCTGTAACATTGGTCAGTCCCATACCAATCTAAAATTTCAATTCACATTTTTTTGGCCTTGGTAATCTAATAGTTTATGCACTCTATCAATGAGTTGAGGAGAAAATCAGCCGTTTGAGGAAGTAACAGCCCATTAAGTTAAGCAAGGGGGGAAAATACCTTAAAATGACACCAGCAGAGCAAAAGCATTTTAATCAAAGAAATAAAAAATGAAGACGTGCGCATGGAATGATATACCTTTGCATAAGATTTTTGGCTGGAAATTGATTGATCACCATGATGGTGAGGTGTGCATCTATGCTCCAACCTTGAGGCAGAGTACTAGTATCTGCTACACACAAAAATATACCAAGATACTTCTCGTCTTCCAGTCCTCGGTAGATTGCAACCTTCCTGCAACAATCACCACAAAAGAAAATTATATTAATATGCTAAAAATTCATGTATCTCGTTCTCTGCCCATTTATGCAATTTTTTTCCTACTAGTTTAGCCATCGACGAATTTACATGATTTTCAAAACAAAAAAAAAACTATTTTCTACCGAA